TACAGTTATGCTGCCTGTTCTATATTGGAGCGCTGGTGGCACAGTGGTTAAGAGCTATAGCTGCTAACCAAAAGGTTAGCAGTTTGAATCCACCAACTGCTCCTTGGAAACCCTGTGGGGCAGTTCTACTCTGTCCTATAGGGTCGCTGTGAGTCAGAGTCGACTGGACAGCGAGGAGTGTGGTGTTTTTTTTGTTTGTTTGTTTGTTTGTTTGTTTGGTCATGTAAAGATCACCTTCCACAGCGTCAGTTTCAATGTCCAGAGCTCAGGTCTCGGGGGACCGTAGATCTCTGAACAGCATCCACAGGAGAAAAAAGGAAGGGAAGTGACTGAGGAAAACAAAGCGCTAGTGCCGGATATGAATCCAGGACCTCTCGCACCCTAAGCGAAAAGTCATACCCCAGACCAAAAAGCCACTCAGGTTAAATACTAAAGCTTGTCTCTATGGCCAGCTGTGTGCTGGAGTGGGCGGGCCAAAGCCGGCCATCGCGTGAAGGATACCGGGGATCTCAGACTCCCAGAAAGGAGATCAGACGCCAGAGGGAGCCCAGCGCCCCCTCCCCGCCCCCAGCCACACAAAGTGGGCGGCAGCCGCTGCGCCCCAGATCCGGACTCGCCCTCCTGGGCCGTCACCTCCACTCCGCGCTGGGACAACCACAAGCCCGCCCAGGAATGGCGATGGCCTCGCGTCATCTGTGGGTCTCAGTGCCATGGAGGCCTGCACTTCGGTCACTTTGTCGCAGCCGCGAGCGCGCTGGGGACAAAAGCCCCGGGGAACTCCCGGCCCAGAGAGGCCGACTGACCTCCAAAGGCAGGGCAGCGGCTGCATCGAGGGCCTTGGAGACGAAATCACTGGGGCACTCCCTCTTCGGAAAGGTCGCACCCATACTGGGGTACTCAGTGGGTGCTTAAAATACGCCGGTCCCTCCCGCCCTACTCCCGCCCGCTTCCCTCGGCTCCGCTCCCCCTCTCTCCCAGCAATACCAAAACCAAGAAAACGAATACCCGAACTGGGGTCTCGAACCTACGTGGCTGAGGTTAGGCGTCACCTGCCCCAGGAGTGAACCAGGCGGGCACCGTCAGCTGTGCCCTCAGGTGCGCCAGCAAAGCCAGTGGCGGGAGCTGCGGGCCCCGGAGGAAGCAAGTCAGGCCACAGTAGTCCCGGTACTGGGGGAGGGCGGTCAGCGATGCCCTCTGTCCAGCGGGGTGCCATTTGAGGACAGCTGCTCCCGCCCCCCAGGTCGTGTGGAGGGTGGAGGACGCGGCCCGCGGGACAGCAGGGGTCTTGTTCAGCGGTCCAGACTCCAGGGGTCCAGCAGTCGGAGTCAGGTTCACTGCAAGCTCGGCTGTTGGTCTGTCCTTCCGCGTGTCCAAGCGTGATCCGATCCCCAAGAATCCGGCAGATACGCATGAACCTGTCCCACGCCCTGCGGTACCCAATCTTTCCCCTCCCCGCCGTTCCCCCGACTCAGGGGAATTTCCTCGAATCCAGACTAGCCAGGAGCGTCCACTTAAGTTCCGCCCGCGGAAGCCCAGGCCGCCTCGCTCTCCGCTTTCGGCTTAAAACGCGATTTGAAGTTAAGAGTAGGGCTCCTCGCGACCTGACAGGCGAACCTCTGGAGCCCACACAAGAATTACACGACTTGGGCAACAAGCAACCAAGGAGCGTGACTTACATATTTCCTTATTCTAAATAGCCTTTCCGGGCCCAGGACCCCAGTCTCCCGACACCGGGGTTCCCCAAAGGCTGTGCCAGCTGGAACCTTCCACCTCATGGGTCTTCCATCTTCGGCTGAAAAGGTGAAAATATCTCTCCAAAGGGAGGACATCCAGGGCTCGTCCGGGATTTGAATCCAGGACCTTTCACACCAAAAGCGAGAACCATACCCATAGACCAACGAGCCACTATATTGCTGTCCATTTAATTGATCTGCAGCTGATTGACAGGTCATTCCAACCACCCCGTAGCGTGGTTGCTAGCACCTGCACCTCTGAATCCTGGGATGTGTTTCACCGGTTCCCGGCCTTAGTCAGATTTTCAGGTGAAGGGTTTAGTTCTGCTGGATAACTGAATAAACCAGCAATACTATTCACTCCCTAAGCCTCCAGGCAATCCCAGCCGAGCTCAGCTCATTCCCTTCAGTCCACAAGAGTAAAGGGACCTCCAGATGCATCTGGCCCCCAGCCCTCTAGCCGCCCCCAGCCTTCAACTGTCCCAGCTGAGCCCCAGACTTGACAGATGCGAGTTAAACCTGCTGTTGCCCATTGAATTCCTGACCCACAGAATCCACACGCATAATAAAATAGTTGTTCCATGACGCTAAATTTGGGGATTTTTTTACATAGCAATAGTAACTGATAAATGGTAACTATTTTTTAATTAATAAATATCATAAATAATGGTAGAGTTTAGATAGCTTCTCCCCCTGAATTCTAGAACTAAGTAAGCATATCCTCTACCACACTTCTACTTAACATTTTACTGGGAGTCCTAGATAGGGCAATAAGGCAAGAAAATTAATTAACAGATATAAATAAGGATCAAAAATCATTAAATAGTTAATTAAATACTGCCATTATTCACAGATAACATGCCTAAATGTGTAGAAACAGCTATAGATTAGAAATGATAAGTGAATTTCCAAGGTCACTGAATCCAAGATCAATATACAAAAATCAATTGTGTTTTTATAGATCTGTAAAAAATAGAAAATTATATTCAAACATAATTTACTCTACCATCCAAAACATCAAATGCCTGGAAAAATTCTACAGAAAGGTGCAAAACCTATCTGAGTAAAATATAAAACACTGTTGTGGTAATAGAAAAAAAATAAAAGACCTTAATAAATGGAGGAATATAGCATGTTCATGAATTGCAAGATTCAATATTGTAATGATGTCAAATCACTCCAGTTGGTCTATAGAAAAATCCCAATCAAAATTCCAGGTGCTATTTTTGTATAAATTGACAAGCTGATTCTAACATGGAAATGTAATGGACGAACAAGTCTGGAGGGTTTGTACATTCCTGGATGTCAAAACTTACCATAAAGCTAAATTGGTTTTGACGAAAGAGTAGACAAAGAGACTATGGAGCAAAACTTTCCAGAAATAGAATCAGAAGAACAAATAAATCTGTCTTGCAACAAGTACAGCCAGAATACCTTAGAAGGACTGAAACATGGCTGCAACAATGGGTTCAAACATAGCAACGATTGTGAGGATAGCACAGGACCAGGCAGTGTTTCCTTTTGTTGCACATAGGGCTGCTATGAGTCAGAACTAACTCGACAGCATCTAACAATATAACAACAACAACCTGGGAGAAGTGGGTGCTGTCGCTATGGAGTGGACAGTGCTCCAATGTATTCTAAAGATGAGAATGTGTTGGAAATAAAGACAAGTCCTGAGTGAGTGAAGACAAGAGGTTCATGGCCTTGGCCCTGTGTGCGGTAAGGATGTTTGGGGCAATCACAGAGCGGACATTTACAGGAGCCTCCATGGCCGCTGGGACCAGACTGCTTGAGAGCCTCTTTAGAGATAAGCAGAAAGTAATTGTCCCACCTACTTCCTAGTCCTTTTGGACCCAACAGTGATGACAAAGAATATTAGTTAATTCCTAGGTCAGAACTGTTCTGCAGGGATCACAACAGAGGGTCCCGGACAGAGCTGGAGAAAAATGTAAAAGAAAATTCTAACTCACAAAAAAACACCAGGCTTACCAGTCTGACAGAGACTGAAGAAACTCCCAGAGTATAGCCCCCGTACACCCTTTTAGCTCAGTAATGAAGTCACTCCTGATGTTCACCCTTCAGCCAAAGGTAAGACAGGTCCATAAAACAAAACAAGACTAAAGGGGAACACCAGCCCAAGGGCAAGGATTAGAAGGCAGAAGGGGACAGAAAAGCTGGTAACAGGGAACCCAAGGTTGAGAAGGGGAGTGTATTGACATGTCGTGGGGTTGGTAACCAATGTCACAAAACAATGTGTGTACTAATTGTTTAATGAGAAGCTAGTTTGTTCTCTAAACCTTCATCTAAGGTACAATAATAATAAAAAATTGGAAAAAGTTTGTTATAAAATGAAAGTGGAAAGTCAAGACATAAGTTAGAATCTATGTACAAATACCCGAGCACATTGACAGAAGACAAGAAAAAGCTGAAGATAGCATGGCTGGGCATTGACGTTAAGGAAAACAGTTCTTGTTTAAATTACCCATATTCCTGCTGTAATGTTGTATGATACATAAAGCTCAGGTAAAAATGTAAGAATAATTAGCTCAAATGTCTGACAGAATTAAGACTTTCTGGAGCCCTAAATGAACCCTTTCCCTGTTGAACCTATAGAAATTCACAGACCATCAGTATCAGACAAGGTCACTCTGTGACCATGGTGGATCAAGACAAAACAAGACCTCTGTGGTCACGTCTGAACACAGACAAAACTATAAACATTGCGCAAGCCCCAGAAATGACCAAACATCCCCCATCCTGGCTGATATAAGTGACGGCTGATTGCTTACAAATTACAGCTTTCCCCTCCCTCTAGTCTTCCCTCCTTCTAGATAAGATACTGACATGTCTAATAAGAATTACCTTTGCTTTCTCACAACATCTAATTCAGATCAAAGCCCTGATCTTAAATCCTCACCAAAATCAGCTCACACTCAAATCCTATAAGACCTTTCTAAAACCCTCCTACTGAGAAGTTCCATGGTTCCCGATTGAGTGTTTTCTTTCTTGTTGTAATGAGTAATAAACACAATAAACTAGAGGTGTGTTGCTGGTGGTTTTTGCTGGAGGGCCTTGGCAGTTGGAATAGTTCTGTCATTTTGTAAAAGGATTTTTCTTTCCCTCTTTAACTTGAAGAGCCTCTATCAAGAGTTTCATTCTCCCAAGGCAAATACGTGGCTGGAACAAATGCTGTTTTAGAGAATAGGAAAAAAAAATTTTCTTATTCCAAACTAGTTTCCTTTATGACATTCAGAGTCCATGTTATTATTGAAAAGAAAAAAAAATTTTCATAGAAATCACTTTTTTTAGGGCCCTTTTCATGTCCTTGTTCCTCAGACTGTAGATGAAAGGGTTGAGCATGGAGGTCACCACTGTGTACATTACAGCGGCTGCGATGTCATTCTCAGCTGAATGGGAGGGTGAAGGGTTGAAATACACAGCAATGATGGTGCCATAGAAGAGGGAAACCACAGCCAGGTGGGAGCCACAGGTGGAGAAGGCTTTCCATTTTCCCTTTTTGGATGGGACTCTCAGGACAGCACAGGTGATGCAAATGTAGGAAACTAGAATGCAAACAAATGGGGTGATCATTATTAGGATCCCCTCAGTAAACACCATCATCTCATTGAGGTGTGTGTCAGAGCAGGAGAGTCTCAGGAGAGGAGTCACATCACAAAAGAAGTGGGGAATCATGTTGTCTGCACAGAAAGAGAGTTGAGCCATCAGCAGGGTATGCAACAGAGCATTCAAATTGGTAATGACCCACGACCCAACCACCAGCAGAGCACCGAGCTGATGAGTCATTTTTGTTGTGTAGTGTAAGGGGTGGCACACAGCAACAAAGCGGTCATAGGCCATCACAGCCAGGAGGAAATTGTCCATGTCAGCAAACTCAGAGACAAAGTACATCTGTGTGAGACACCCAGGGAAGGAGATGGTCTGACTGCTGAGTATGTGGTTCACTAGCATCTTGGGGACGGTGGTGGAGGAGAAGCAAACATCCACGAAGGACAGGTTGCCGAGGAAGAAGTACATGGGGGTGTGCAGGCAGGAGTCTGTGCTGATGGCCAGGATAATGAGCAGGTTTCCCAGGACTGTGGCCAGGTACATGCTCAGGAAGAACACAAAGAGGAGCTGCTGCTGGGGCTGCCTGGAGAGCCACAGGAGGAGGAACTCGGAGACACTAGACTGGTTTGCCCCACTCATGGCCACAGACCCAAGTTAATACACAACAGCAAGTCAAGCTCCAGGTTAAGCCACAGTTGCAAATCAGATAATAGGATTGCTAAAATAGCACCAGCCCTTCCCAATTATACACTCAATTTCCAACAGTCAATCCTGATGCTATTTCTACTGGAATCACTGGCACTTATTTTGTATATTTAACATTGTAAAACACACAGGCATATACACAGCCCTAATCTGACTATTTATATCTCTGCTTACATTACCCAGTTTCCACCCCCACTCCTCAGTCATGCCTAAAAAGACAAGAGAAACAGCTGATTGTTACTGGGTTATCACAAGTTCTAGCTGATGGATGCAGGACTCCTACTATTGCTCCCTGGATCTGGAAGAACTGCATATCTTAATAAACAAAAATTGATGTCTCCTCTGCTGTAATCTTACTGAGGGAGGTTGGTTCTGTACCTATCATGTGTTTTTCACCTCTGCATAACTGGCCAATATTTCTCTTTATTGTGAGGATTGGAAAGTCTTGCAAATACAGGAGGTCCCTGAGCAAGTAGGGAGCAGGCGTTCATGGTCTTAGTCCTCTCTGCAGGAAGGATGTTTAGGGGAATCACAGAGCAGGCATTTACAGGTGTCTCCATGGCCACTGGGAGCACACTCCCTGAGAACCTCATTAGAGACGAGAAGACGGTAATTGTCCTACCTACATTTGGCCCTTTAGACCAAACAATGATAACAAAGATTACCTAAGGTTTAGAGAACTTTTGGTTCAAAACATGAAGATATTAGACATGGAGTTGTTTTGGTGGAGACAAATCCCAGACAAAATTCCCTAGGACCTCAATCCTCATCACCTTGCTCTTCTGATTCTGTGTCCATAGACATAGAAATTCAGTTATTAAATCCTCTTTATTCTTACTTCCTCACTTCCTAGGTTCAGAACTGGGGCTATTCCTATGTCTTTTTTTTTTTTTTTTTTTGTATCACTTGTTTCTCATGTGTGGTCATCTTTGGAGATGATTAGTGACACCTGTATTCTCCATTTTGCTGATGGGAATGTTCAGAACACATTACGAAGCTGGACTTAGCCCATAAAACCATTTGGGATAAAGGATAGCCTGAAGGGGGTTGTCTCAGGGAGAGGCCAGCATGCTGTGATTTATGAACTCTAGACCCCTTTTGGAAAATCTCTCCAACCCACATGGTTTACCCTTTTCTCAGAGTAGAAACCCCTAATCCACATAGTCTCAGTGTGGTGGAGCCCCAGCAATCATGTTTATCCTACATCCCCACCCTCCTCATCACAGGTGATTGGGAGAGGGTATTTGGAATTGGGATTGGGGGACAGCCAGTCCATATCAGTCTGTGGCTTGGCTGGAATGTGTACACTCAACCCTCTTCTGCATGTCCCATTGACTGCCCATGGCCTGAGGAGCAGAGAAGAGCTAAAGAAGCAAACACACAGAGAGGAGAAGACATTAGTTGGAGAAAATCCTCCTGGTTTTCTAGTTCTGGGTTTTAGTCTTTTTCGGATGATTGGCTACATTGCAGTATATTTAAGTAAGGGTTCTTAGTTGCAAGTAATGAGCACAAACCCTGGATAATTTTTGTAGAAGAAGATTTCATAAAAAGAATACTGAGAAGTATTTGATAAGAAGCTTGAGAGGCAGTGAGTTTATATTAGTCATGGGAAATAAATTGAAAAAGAAGGGTAAGAATGGCTGCACAACTTGGAAAACATAGTCAATGTCACTGAACTTTACAAGTAGAAATTGCTGGATTGGTGTATGTATTGCTGTATATATTTTCAACAACAATTTTTTTAAAGTAAAAAAATTGAGTCACAAAGTGGATGTGGTGTACAAAAACTAACTCAAAATGGATCAAAGACCTAAATATAAAATTGAAAATGATAAAGATCATGAAAGAACAAATAGGGTCAACGCTGGGAGCCCTAATACATGGCATGAACAGAATACAAACCATAACTAACAATGCAGAAACACAAGAAGAGAAACTAGATAACTGGGAGCTCCTAAAAATCAAACACTTATGCTCATCAAAAGACTTTACCAAAAGAGTAAAAAGACAACCTACAGACTTGGAGAAAAAATTGGCTACAAATTTGCAAGACCTCAACATCAGAAAGATGGCCCAATTAAAAAATGGGCAAAGGATTTGAACAGACACTTTACCAAAGAAGACATGCAGGTGACTAACAGATACGTGAGAAAATGCTCACCATCATTGGCCATTAGAGAAATGCAAATCAAAACTACAATAAGATACCATCTCACCCCAACAAGGCTAGCACTAATCCAAAAAAACATGAAATAATAAATGTTGCAGGGATTGTGGAGAGACTGGAACACTTATACACTGCTGGTGGGAATGTAAAATGGTACAACCACTCTGGAAATCGATTTGACACTTCCTTAAAAAGCTAGAAATAGAAGTACCATATGATCTAGCAATCCCACTCTTTGGAATATATCCTAGAGAAATAAGAGCCATCACACGAATAGATATACGGAAACCCATGTTCATTGCAGCACTGCTCACAATAGCAAAAAAATGGAAACAATCTAGGTGCCCATCAACAGACGAATGGATAAACAAACTATGGTATATACACACAATGGAATACTATGCAAACGATAAAGAACAATGATGAATCTGTGAAACATCTCACAACATGAATGAACCTGGAAGGCAGTATACTGAGTGAAATTAGTCGCAAAAGGACAAGTATCGTATGAGACCACTGTTATAAGAATTCAAGAAAAGGTTTAAACACAGAAAACATTCTTTGATGGTTATGAGGGTGGGGAGGGAGGGAGAGGGGAATTCACTAACTAGATAGTAGACAAGAATCATCTTAGGTGAAGGGAAGGACAACACACACTATAGGGAAAGTCAATGCAACTGGACTAAACCAAAGCTAGGAAGTTTCCTGAAACAACCAAATACTTTAAGGGACAGAGTAGCAGGGGCTGGGGTCTGCGGACCATGGATTCGGGGGACATTTAGATCAACTGGCATAACAAAATTTAAGAAAATGTTCTGCATCCCACTTTGGTGAGTTGTGTCTGGGGTCTTAAAAGCCACCAAGCGGCCATCTAAGATGCATCAATTAGTCCCAACACACTTGGAGCAAAGGAGAATGAAGAACACCAAAGACACAAGGAAAATATCAGCCCAAGAGACAAAAGGGTCACATGAACCAGAAATTCCATCAGTCTAAGACCGGAAGAACTAGATGGTGCCCAGGGACCACTAACGACCGCCCTGACAGGGAACACAACAGAGAGTCCCTGACGGAGCAGGAGAATAGTGTGGTGCAGAATTCAAATTAACATAAAAAGACCAGACTTAATGGTCTGAATGAGACTGGAGGAACCCTCAATGCCACGGCCTCCAGATGCTCTGTTAACCCGAAACTAAAACTTTCCTGAAGCCCACTCTTCACACAAAGATTAAACTGGACTATAAAACATAGTGTAATACTCGTGAAGTGTGCTTCTTAGTACAAGCAGATACACGAGACCCCATGGGCGGCTCCTTTCTGGAGGCAGAATGAGAAGGCAGGAAGGGACAGGAGCTGGTTGGATGGACATGGGAAACCTGGGGTGTAAAGGGGGAGTATGCTGTCACATTATAGGGATTTCAACTAGTGTCACATAACAATATGTGTATAAATTTTTATATGAGAAATTAACTTGAGCTGTAAACTTTCACCTAAAGCACAATTAAAAAAAAAGAAAAAGAGGGATGTGGGCCATGGGCATCGATGCTTAAGCAAACAGGTCTACAAGCAATCAAACGAAACCAAGTTTCAACAACACACTGTACCGGCAACTCATGAAATCATGTCAGCGAGCATCAATATTCTCTCTCCACCTAACGTGGAAAAGCAGAAATGGCTGGCACCTTCGGACTGAGTGAGCTTCTGGAGAGCTTGGTGGAGACACCAAGAGGGAGGTATTGGACCCCTCCTAGAAATGACGGATGGGATCAGAATTGAAGAAATAAAGGAAAAATGACCTTAAGTTTTAATCCAGGCTGGAGAAGTAGAATGCACAGATTACTTGTGGCAATAGTCAGGGATGAAGACTAACGGGGGTGCTTCTCATCTGAAATGTCATTACCCACTTGAGTCCTCAGATTTCACCCTGCTGTTTTGTCTGAGTCTCAAAACTAATTTGAGAGGACTTCTGAGACCCAACCTTTGTGACTTACCTTCACGGAGGATATATAAAGGAGTATGATGTAGACCTGTGAATCTCCTGTGACTGCACATTACACTCACTTAATTTCCTTAAACTATCAGTGTTGAGACTACCTGAGAGTCTGATTTATTTGGTAAGTGCTGGGGACTGGACAACAGCGTATTTTAAAAACTTCCCAGGTAATTCTAGTATTCAAAAATACTTGTAGCATGAGTCTTTCCAAACAGACCACCTAAAAAGGAAAATTTTGGGTGTAAATAATTCAAAAGTTAGTAATCAAAAAGAAGTCTCATTACTTGGCATATGCAGCAGGGTTACAGGTGACTTCCCGTCTACTAATAAATAAGTAATGACAGCCTTCTATGTGACCTAGCAAAATGATTGTTTCTGGACTGGCTTTGACAAAATAACTGCTACCTTATACTCAATTGGTGAAAAAGAATTTTTCTTGGGAATGAGATTCAGCATTGATGCTTTCATCAGGTAGAAAATCTGTTTCTGCCAATCACTTTTCTTAAGGACCATCTCATGTCCTTATTCCTCAGGCTGTAGATGAAAGGGTTCAGCATGGAGGTCACCAGTGTGTTCAATACAGTAGGTGCAGTGTCTTTCTCAGCTGAGTGGGAGGATGAAGGGTTGAAATACAGAGCAATGATGGTGCCATAGACAAGGGAAACCACAACCAGGTGGGAGCCACAGGTGGAGAAGGCTTTCCATGTTCCCTGTGTGGATGGGACTCTCGGGACAGCAGAGGTGATGTAAATGTAGGAAACCAGGATGCAAACA